GACTGGAGATAACAGGGACCGGACTAGAGATAACCTGGACCGGACTAGAGATAACCTGGACCGGACTTGAGATAACCTGGACCGGACTGGAGATAACAGGGACCGGACTAGAGATAACCTGGACCGGACTAGAGATAACCTGGACCGGACTTGAGATAACCTGGACCGGACTGGAGATAACAGGGACCGGACTAGAGATAATGTGGACCGGACTAGAGATAACGTGGACCGGATTAGAGATAACGTGGACCGGACTAGAGATAACGTGGACCGGATTAGAGATAACGTGGACCGGACTAGAGATAACAGGGACCGGACTAGAGATAACAAGGACTGGACTTGAGATAACCTGGACCGGACTAGAGATAACGTGGACCGGACTAGAGATAACCTGGACCGGACTGGAGATAACAGGGACTAGAGATAACGTGGACCGGACTAAGGATAACCTGGACCGGACTTGAGATAACCTGGACCGGACTAGAAAAAAAACGGATCAGACTAGAAATAAAGTGGGCCGGACTAGAGATAAAGTGGACTGGACTCCAGATTACATGGACCGGACTGTGATAACGTGGACTGGACTATGATAACGTGGACTGGACTGTGATAACGTGGACTGGACTGTGATAACGTGGACCGGACTATGATAACGTGGACCGGACTAGAGTTAAATTGGACCAGACTGGATAAAGTGGACCACACAGTAGACAAAGTGAACCAGACAGTTCTGGACGTCTGTTGTTGTACCTTTAACACCGTAACATCACATTTCTGAATAAAAATAAAAACAGACCAAAGTCCTGGAGGAGCAGGTCCAGTAATGAGATCCCAAACGGCCACAGATCCTCGTTTCACTTCCAGCCATGAATCAGGAAGAAGTTTGTACCTGAGAGACGCACTTCTGCGACGTCAAAGTTCCTCACATTAAAGAAAGTCGCACTGGGGACCTTTTCTGTTTCTTCAAATTAAAATGTAATTCATGGTCCATAACTGAGGCCTGGATTTATTCTACCATAACTGTACCATCAATCTGTACCATCGATGGTTTCAGTGGGTTCAAAGTTTTTGGTTCCACTAGTTTACTTTTAATTCTGTCTTCTTCAGAGGTGCTCATGAGAGACCAGAGAGAGAGACCAGAGAGAGAGACCAGAGAGAGAGAGACCAGAGAGAGAGACCAGAGAGAGAGAGGACAGAGAGAGACCAGAGAGAGAGAGAACAGAGAGAGACCAGAGAGAGAGAGAACAGAGAGAGACCAGAGAGAGAGAGAACAGAGAGAGACCAGAGAGAGAGAGAACAGAGAGAGGCCAGAGAGAGAGAGAACAGAGAGAGACCAGAGAGAGAGAGAACTGAGAGAGAGAGAACAGAGAGAGACCAGAGAGAGAGAGACCAGAGAGAGACCAGAGAGAGAGAGACCAGAGAGAGAGAGAGAACAGAGAACAGAGAGAGAGAGAACAGAGAGACAACAGAGAGAGACCAGAGAGAGAGAACAGAGAGACAACAGAGAGAGACCAGAGAGAGAGAGGACAGAGAGAGACCAGAGAGAGAGACCAGAGAGAGAGAGAGAACAGAGAGAGACCAGAGAGAGAGAGACCACACAAGCCCCAACCTTAACCACAAACACCAACCCTCATCCCTAGTAGCAGCAAGAGGTGGTCAGTCTGCCCCAGGACGGCTGTGGCTACATTAACCGCTGCATATGAAGACATTGACTCTGCTGTATTCAGTGAATCCACAAGACAAGGACGATTCCGAACGCTAAAGCTAATATTGTACAGTTTTGAATGCTTCTATTCAGACGTACAGTATTTCACCCTCAGCCTTCAGACTCTTTCAATAAAACTATTTCTATACAAACGAGATTAAAACTTATTTATCAAAGTCACTGCAAACTGTTGAAATCTGTTTTTAAAAACACACAGAAAACCATCGTCCATTTTCTTCCCCTTTGTCCATGATTTGCCTTGAGGTTTCAGCGGGAATGTGGGGTTAAGTGTCTTGCCCAAGGACACAACAGAAGACATCAGTAGGAATTGGCGGAGCTCGAACCCACAACCTTCAGTCAAAAGCCAATGCTCTAGCAACTAAGCTCTGGTCTCTCACTCTGGTCTCTCACTCTGGTCTCTCACTCTGGTCTCTCACTCTGGTCTCTCACTCTGGTCTCTCACTCTGGTCTCTCACTCTGGTCTCTCACTCTGGTCTCTCACTCCGGTCTCTCACTCCAGTCTCTCACTCCGGTCTCTCACTCCGGTCTCTCACTCCGGTCTCTCTCACTCCGGTCTCTCACTTCGGTCTCTCACTCCGGTCTCTCACTCCGGTCTCTCACTCCGGTCTCTCACTCTGGTCTCTCACTCTGGTCTCTCACTCTGGTCTCTCACTCTGGTCTCTCACTCTGGTCTCTCACTCTGGTCTCTAACTCTGGTCTCTCTCTCTCTGGTCGCTCTCTCTCTGGTCTCTCTCTCTCTGGTCGCTCTCTCTCAGGTCTCTCACTCTGGTCTCTCACTCTGGTCTCTCACTCCGGTCTCTCACTCCGGTCTCTCACTCCGGTCTCTCACTCCGGTCTCCCACTCTGGTCTCTCACTCCGGTCTCTCTCACTCCGGTCTCTCTCACTCCGGTCTCTCTCACTCCGGTCTCTCACTTCGGTCTCTCACTCCGGTCTCTCACTCCGGTCTCTCACTCCGGTCTCTCACTCTGGTCTCTCACTCTGGTCTCTCACTCCGGTCTCTCACTCCGGTCTCTCACTCTGGTCTCTCACTCTGGTCTCTCACTCTGGTCTCTCACTCTGGTCTCTCACTCCGGTCTCTCACTCCGGTCTCTCACTCTGGTCTCTCACTCTGGTCTCTCACTCTGGTCTCTAACTCTGGTCTCTCTAACTCTGGTCTCTCTCTCTCTGGTCGCTCTCTCTCTGGTCGCTCTCTCTCTGGTCTCTCTCTCTCTCTGGTCTCTCTCTCTCTCTGGTCTCTCTCTCTCTGGTCTCTCTCTCCGGTCTCTCTGGTCTCTCTCTCCGGTCTCTCCGGTCTCTCTCTCCAGTCTCTCTCTCTGGTCTCTCTCTCACCATAAAAACCATTATTACCTCACATAGTCCCATTGTTTGCAGCAGATCTGTCTCTGACCATGGGGCTGATCCTTGACTCTTGCTTGTTTCCACTATTTTTAGTCCCAGAGAAAAGGTTCCGGTTTCTGGTTTTACCTCCGGACCTTGCGCTAAAGGTCAAGACGTGATATTTGTTCACATCTGTAACATCTGGTCCTGTCCCGGAGCCAAACAGGCTGCTCCACCATAGGACACCAGAGAGAGACCAGAAAGAGAGAGACCAGAGAGAGACCAGAGAGAGAGACCAGAGAGAGAGACCAGAGAGAGAGAGACCAGAGAGAGAGGTACCAGAGAGACCAGAGAGAGAGAGACAGGTACCAGAGAGAGAGACCAGAGAGAGACCAGAGAGAGAGACCAGAGACCAGAGAGAGAGAGAGAGGTACCAGAGAGAGAGACCAGAGAGAGAGAAAGAGACCAGAGAGAGAGGTACCAGAGAGGGAGGGACCAGAGAGAGAGAGACCAGAGACAGAGACCTGAGAGAGAGACCAGAGAAAGACCAGAGAGAGAGGTACCAGAGAGGGAGGGACCAGAGAGAGAGAAACCAGAGCGAGAGAGACTAGACAGAGAGGTACCAGAGAGAGAGAGAGAGAGACCAAAGAGAGAGACCAGAGAGAGACCAGTGAGACAGACCAGAGAGAGAGAGAGAGACCAGAGAGAGAGGTACCAGAGAGGGAGGGACCAGATAGAGAGGTACCAGAGAGACCAGAGAGAGAGAGAGAGACCAGAGAGAGAGGTACCAGAGAGGGAGGGACCAGAGAGAGAGAGACCAGAGACAGAGACCTGAGAGAGAGACCAGAGAAAGACCAGAGAGAGACCAGAGAGAGACCAGAGAGAGAGACCAGAGAGACCAGAGAAAGAGAGACCAGAGAGAAAGAGACTATAGAGACCAGAGAGAGAGACCAGAAAGAGAGACTAGAAAGAGAGACCAGAGAGAGAGAAAGAGACAGACTAGAGAGAGGCCAGAGCGAGAATGACCAGAGAGAGAGACCAGAGAGAGACCAGAGAGAGACAAGAGAGAGAGAGACCAGAGAGAGACCAGAGAGAGAGACCAGAGAGAGCGACCATAGAGAGACCAGAGAGAAAGACCAGAGAGAGACCAGAGAGAGAGACCAGAGAGACCAGAGAGAGACCAGAAAGAGACCAGAGAGAGACAAGAGAGAGAGAGACCAGAGAGAGAGACCAGAGAGAGACCAGAGAGAGAGACCAGAGAGAGAGAGAGAGACCAGAGAGAGAGACCAGAGAGAGACCAGAGAGAGACCAGAGAGAGACCAGAGAGAGACCAGAGAGAGACCAGGGAGAGAGACCAGAGAGAGAGACCAGAGGGAGACCAGAGAGAGACCAGAGAGAGACCAGAGAGAGACCAGAGAGAGACCAGAGAGAGACCAGAGCGAGAGACCAGAGAGAGAGACCAGAGAGAGACCAGAGAGAGAGACCAGAGAGAGAGAGAGAGACCAGAGAGAGAGACCAGAGAGAGACCAGAGAGAGACCAGAGAGAGACCAGAGAGAGACCAGAGAGAGACCAGGGAGAGAGACCAGAGAGAGAGACCAGAGGGAGACCAGAGAGAGACCAGAGAGAGACCAGAGAGAGACCAGAGAGAGACCAGAGAGAGACCAGAGCGAGAGACCAGAGAGAGAGACCAGAGAGTGGTTTTAGATCCATCATGTAGAATTATTTTTACATTTCCTTGTTGTTGAAGTCTCTCTCGTCTCCCCCTTTCAGCTGAAAAACAGCGAGACATGATTCTCGGATAAACAGAAGAAACAGAAGCAGATTTTCCCGTTTGACAGTCGCTAATTTACTGCCATTGTTTCTTCTTTAAAAACGCGCTGATCAAATAGAGAAAAAGTCTAGACGAAAGCCGAGCTAAAGGAGGAAGCTCGAAATAGCCGAGGCAGCCGGTCGCCATGGAAACCGGAGCGAGTGGAGGAGAGAGTCTGAAAGAAGCGAGCGGCGGAGGGAGTGATGCTCCCAGTGGGCTCCTGTGTCACGCCGCGTTTCAAAAGAATTGATTTTCATTTGAACATAATATTAAGCGTTTGTTGCGCCGCGGGGAACGGGACGGAGGGCGCCGCGACACCAGGACCGACGCCGGGTTGTAATTAACGAAAGAAACGGATAATAAGGTTACGGGTAAAAAAGGTGCTCAGTTCATTAGCGGCTGTGTCAAAGATACAACTGTATCGTAGCGTAAGAGGCTAAAGTTTGTGCTATTAGCGGTTAGCATTCACAGAAACCCTTTTTACAACTATTATTTTCATTAGTGTTGTTACAGGTGCGTGTTTATGTGTGTATGTATTTTATTGTTTTTATTCAGACAAAATGGGGCTAACGCTAAGGGTTAGCGCTAGAGCTAGGGTTAGCGCTAGAGCTAGGGTTAGCGTACACCAATTAGCCTGAATTAGCTGTGAATTGGTGAGGGCCAATCTTAGTTTTGTTCGTCAAATTTTTTTAGCTTGTCCCGTGTGTATGATGAGAAAATAAACTATCTCGCTCCACATGGTCCCGTGTTGTGTCTTGCTCCACATGGTCCTTTTATCTGTCTCGCTCCACATGGTCCTTTGATGTGTCCTGCTCCACATGGTCCCGTGTTGTGTCTCGCTCCACATGGTCCTGTGTCTTGCTCCACATGGTCCCGTGTTGTGTCTCGCTCCACATGGTCCTTTTATGTGTCTCGCTCCACAATAAGTGTGACGATATATCGATATAACAATATATCGTGATACTTTCTTCCACGATGGATTATCGATATGCATTTGCCAAGTATTGATTTTGGAAGAAAAAAATATATATATTTTCTTTCAATTAGAATCAATACTTAATATATGACGACATTTATGCATCTGCACCATTTATCATGAAATAAAGTGTATTTTTTTACCTAAAATTCTTTTATTTAAACCATAAATTAGCATATAGTATATTTCTGACCAATATATCGATAATCGTCATATTGTGATAAAATTGTTATTGTGAGCTTTGTATCACGTATTGTATCGTAAGGTACCCTGAGGTTCCCACCCCTACTCCACATGGTCCTGTGTCTCGCTCCACATGGTCCTGTGTCTTGCTCCACATGGTCCCGTGTTGTGTCTCGCTCCACATGGTCCCGTGTTGTGTCTCGCTCCACATGGTCTCGTGTTGTGTCTCGCTCCACATGGTCTCGTGTTGTGTCTCGCTCCACATGGTCCCGTGTTGTGTCTTGCTCCACATGGTCCTGTGTCTCGCTCCACATGGTCCTGTGTCTCGCTCCACATGGTCCCGTGTTGTGTCTTGCTCCACATGGTTGCTCCACATGGTCTCGTGTTGTGTCTTGCTCCACATGGTCCTGTGTCTCGCTCCACATGGTCCTGTGTTGTGTCTCGCTCCACATGGTCTCGTGTTGTGTCTCGCTCCACATGGTCTCGTGTTGTGTCTCGCTCCACATGGTCCCGTGTTGTGTCTTGCTCCACATGGTCTCGTGTTGTGTCTCGCTCCACATGGTCCCGTGTTGTATCTCGCTCCACATGGTCCCGAGTTGTGTCTCGCTATACATGGTCCCGTGTTGTGTCTCGCTCCACATGGTCCCGTGTTGTGTCTCGCTCCACATGGTCCCGTGTTGTGTCTTGCTCCACATGGTCCCGTGTTGTGTCTCGCTCCACATGGTCCCGTGTTGTGTCTCGCTCCACATGGTCCCGTGTTGTGTCTCGCTCCACATGGTCCCGTGTTGTGTCTCGCTCCACATGGTCTCGTGTTGTGTCTCGCTCCACATGGTCCCGTGTTGTGTCTCGCTCCACATGGTCCCGTATTGTGTCTCGCTCCACATGGTCCCGTGTTGTGTCTCGCTCCACATGGTCCCGTGATGTGTCTCGCTCCACATGGTCCCGTGTTGTGTCTCGCTCCACATGGTCCTGTGTCTCGCTCCACATGGTCTTGTGTTGTGTCTCGCTCCACATGGTCCCGTGATGTGTCTCGCTCCACATGGTCCCGTGATGTGTCTCGCTCCACATGGTCCCGTGTCTCGCTCCACATGATCCCGTGTTGTGTCTCGCTCCACATGGTCCCGTGTTGTGTCTCGCTCCACATGGTCCCGTGATGTGTCTCGCTCCACATGGTCCCGTGTTGTGTCTTGCTCCACATGGTCCTGTGTCTCGCTCCACATGGTCCCGTGTTGTGTCTCGCTCCACATGGTCCCGTGTTGTGTCTCGCTCCACATGGTCCCGTGTTGTGTCTCGCTCCACATGGTCCCGTGTTGTGTCTCGCTCCACATGGTCCCGTGTTGTGTCTCGCTCCACATGGTCCCGTGTTGTGTCTCGCTCCACATGGTCTCGTGTTGTGTCTCGCTCCACATGGTCCCGTGTTGTGTCTCGCTCCACATGGTCCCGTATTGTGTCTCGCTCCACATGGTCCCGTGTTGTGTCTCGCTCCACATGGTCCCGTGATGTGTCTCGCTCCACATGGTCCCGTGTTGTGTCTCGCTCCACATGGTCCTGTGTCTCGCTCCACATGGTCTTGTGTTGTGTCTCGCTCCACATGGTCCCGTGATGTGTCTCGCTCCACATGGTCCCGTGATGTGTCTCGCTCCACATGGTCCCGTGTCTCGCTCCACATGGTCCCGTGTTGTGTCTCGCTCCACATGGTCCCGTGATGTGTCTCGCTCCACATGGTCCCGTGTTGTGTCTTGCTCCACATGGTCCTGTGTCTCGCTCCACATGGTCCCGTGTTGTGTCTCGCTCCACATGGTCCCGTGTTGTGTCTCGCTCCACATGGTCCCGTGTTGTGTCTCGCTCCACATGGTCCCGTGTTGTGTCTCGCTCCACATGGTCCCGTGTCTTGCTCCACATGGTCCCCTTGATGTCTCATGTCTCTGATGTCTCCGCAGGCATCACTACGGTCCTGACCATGACCACGCTGAGCACGGTGGCGAGGAACTCTCTGCCGCGCGTGTCGTACGTGACGGCGATGGACCTGTTTGTGACCGTGTGCTTCCTCTTCGTGTTCGCCGCCATGATCGAGTACGCCATGCTCAACTACTACGCCTACAACCACCGGCCGCCGCCACGCTCGCGCAGGATGGTAAGCTAGCATCACAGCTAACTCACGCAGCTAACATCACAGCTAACCGTCACACCGTGTAAAGGATATAACCAGTGTGGGCGGGTCCAGGCTCAATAGTGGCCAAAATGACGTGCGCTGACATGCTGCAGTACCACCCCGGGCCTGTGGGGGTGGACCCGGAATAAGAATTAGCCAATGCTAACATATAGCGTTGGCAGACCTCTGGAAAACGTCTTTACAGGATGGTCCAAAAGTTGTCTCTTGGCCCAAAGCTCCGTTCCACATGTGTGTCAATGCTGAGTGTTCTGGACCACTCTAGTTTAGTCGCTGTGGACTTTAGAAGTCTCTTGTTTAATTGAATGGAGCTCGTGCAGCTGACGCATGCGCAGATGCGTTTTTTTCACATTTTCCAGCCCCCGCGGCCATTTTGAATCACTCCATGAAAGCCCAATTTTTGGCCCATGAGTTAGAATGGCAGAGATAGGCCGTTAATACACAATAGCCCTTTAGAGTCTGTGTCGTGGAGAGGAGCTGTCCAAGGTGCTGACCGTAGCATAACAGACCGACAGTGAGAGCAAAAATCACTATTCTCTTTATAAAACCCTTCATGGAGATTGTCAACATTTCAACACCCTCTCACACCATATTGGATTTATAGATTTCTCTGCATTCTTTGGTTCTCGTCATATAAGCAATAATATATATATATATATATATATATATATATATATATATATATATAATCATATATATATATATAATCATATAAGCAAGGCCACGGATCAATGCAGCCGCTCCTCTCTCTGTCCACTCCACAGAGACCTCTCTCTCTCTCACTGGTCTCTCTCTCTGTCCACTCCACACAGACCTCTCTCTCTCTCTCACTGGTCTCTCTCTCTGTCCACTCCACAGAGACCTCTCTCTCTCTCACTGGTCTCTCTCTCTCTCTGGTCTCTCTCTCTCTGGTCTCTCTCTCTGCCCACTCCACACAGACCTCTCTCTCTCTCTCACTGGTCTCTCTCTCTGTCCACTCCACAGAGACCTCTCTCTCTCTCACTGGTCTCTCTCTCTCTCTGGTCTCTCTCTCTCTGGTCTCTCTCTCTGCCCACTCCACACAGACCTCTCTCTCTCTCACTGGTCTCTCTCTCTGTCCACTCCACACAGACCTCTCTCTCTCTCTCACTGGTCTCTCTCTCTCTGTCCACTCCACACAGACCTCTCTCTCTCTCACTGGTCTCTCTCTCTGTCCACTCCACACAGACCTCTCTCTCTCTCTCACTGGTCTCTCTCTCTCTGTCCACTCCACACAGACCTCTCTCTCTCTCACTGGTCTCTCTCTCTCTGTCCACTCCACACAGACCTCTCTCTCTCTCTCACTGGTCTCTCTCTCTGCCCACTCCACACAGACCTCTCTCTCTCTCACTGGTCTCTCTCTCTCTGTCCACTCCACACAGACCTCTCTCTCTCTCTCACTGGTCTCTCTCTCTGTCCACTCCACACAGACCTCTCTCTCTCTCTCACTGGTCTCTCTCTCTCACTGGTCTCTCTCTCTCTCTGGTCTCTCTCTCTCTGATCTCTCTCTGTCCACTCCACACAGACCTCTCTCTCTCTCTCACTGGTCTCTCTCTCTCTGTCCACTCCACACAGACCTCTCTCTCTCTCACTGGTCTCTCTCTCTCTGTCCACTCCACACAGACCTCTCTCTCTCTCTCACTGGTCTCTCTCTCTCTCTGGTCTCTCTCTCTCTGTCCACTCCACACAGACCTCTCTCTCTCTCTCACTGGTCTCTCTCTCTGCCCACTCCACACAGACCTCTCTCTCTCTCACTGGTCTCTCTCTCTCTGTCCACTCCACACAGACCTCTCTCTCTCTCACTGGTCTCTCTCTCTCTGTCCACTCCACACAGACCTCTCTCTCTCTCTCACTGGTCTCTCTCTCTGTCCACTCCACACAGACCTCTCTCTCTCTCACTGGTCTCTCTCTCTGCCCACTCCACACAGACCTCTCTCTCTCTCACTGGTCTCTCTCTCTCTGTCCACTCCACACAGACCTCTCTCTCTCTCTCACTGGTCTCTCTCTCTGTCCACTCCACACAGACCTCTCTCTCTCTCACTGGTCTCTCTCTCTGTCCACTCCACACAGACCTCTCTCTCTCTCTCACTGGTCTCTCTCTCTCTCTGGTCTCTCTCTCTCTGGTCTCTCTCTCTCTGCCCACTCCACACAGACCTCTCTCTCTCTCACTGGTCTCTCTCTCTGTCCACTCCACACAGACCTCTCTCTCTCTCTCACTGGTCTCTCTCTCTGTCCACTCCACACAGACCTCTCTCTCTCTCACTGGTCTCTCTCTCTGTCCACTCCACACAGACCTCTCTCTCTCTCTCACTGGTCTCTCTCTCTCTCTGGTCTCTCTCTCTCTGGTCTCTCTCTCTCTGCCCACTCCACACAGACCTCTCTCTCTCTCACTGGTCTCTCTCTCTGTCCACTCCACACAGACCTCTCTCTCTCTCTCACTGGTCTCTCTCTCTGTCCACTCCACACAGACCTCTCTCTCTCTCTCACTGGTCTCTCTCTCTGTCCACTCCACACAGACCTCTCTCTCTCTCACTGGTCTCTCTCTCTGTCCACTCCACACAGACCTCTCTCTCTCTCTCACTGGTCTCTCTCTCTGCCCACTCCACACAGACCTCTCTCTCTCTCACTGGTCTCTCTCTCTCTGTCCACTCCACACAGACCTCTCTCTCTCTCTCACTGGTCTCTCTCTCTGACCACTCCACACAGACCTCTCTCTCTCTCACTGGTCTCTCTCTCTGTCCACTCCACAGAGACCTCTCTCTCTCTCACTGGTCTCTCTCTCTCTCTGGTCTCTCTCTCTCTGATCTCTCTCTGTCCACTCCACACAGACCTCTCTCTCTCTCTCACTGGTCTCTCTCTCTCTGTCCACTCCACACAGACCTCTCTCTCTCTCTCACTGGTCTCTCTCTCTCTCTGGTCTCTCTCTCTCTGATCTCTCTCTGTCCACTCCACACAGACCTCTCTCTCTCTCTCACTGGTCTCTCTCTCTCTGTCCACTCCACACAGACCTCTCTCTCTCTCTCTCTGGTCTCTCTCTCTGCCCACTCCACACAGACCTCTCTCTCTCTCACTGGTCTCTCTCTCTCTGTCCACTCCACAGAGACCTCTCTCTCTCTCACTGGTCTCTCTCTCTCTCTGGTCTCTCTCTCTCTGATCTCTCTCTCTCTCTCTGATCTCTCTCTCTGTCCACTCCACACAGACCTCTCTCTCTCTCACTGGTCTCTCTCTCTGTCCACTCCACAGAGACCTCTCTCTCTCTCACTGGTCTCTCTCTCTCTCTGGTCTCTCTCTCTGATCTCTCTCTCTCTCTGATCTCTCTCTCTGTCCACTCCACACAGACCTCTCTCTCTCTCACTGGTCTCTCTCTCTGCCCACTCCACACAGACCTCTCTCTCTCTCACTGGTCTCTCTCTCTCTCTGGTCTCTCTCTCTCTGATCTCTCTCTGTCCACTCCACACAGACCTCTCTCTCTCTCACTGGTCTCTCTCTCTCTGTCCACTCCACACAGACCTCTCTCTCTCTCTCTGGTCTCTCTCTCTGTCCACTCCACACAGACCTCTCTCTCTCTCTCACTGGTCTCTCTCTCTGACCACTCCACACAGACCTCTCTCTCTCTCTCACTGGTCTCTCTCTCTGTCCACTCCACAGAGACCTCTCTCTCTCTCACTGGTCTCTCTCTCTCTCTGGTCTCTCTCTCTCTGATCTCTCTCTGTCCACTCCACACAGACCTCTCTCTCTCTCTCACTGGTCTCTCTCTCTCTGTCCACTCCACACAGACCTCTCTCTCTCTCACTGGTCTCTCTCTCTGTCCACTCCACACAGACCTCTCTCTCTCTCTCACTGGTCTCTCTCTCTCTGTCCACTCCACACAGACCTCTCTCTCTCTCACTGGTCTCTCTCTCTCTGTCCACTCCACAGAGACCTCTCTCTCTCTCACTGGTCTCTCTCTCTCTCTGGTCTCTCTCTCTCTGATCTCTCTCTCTGTCCACTCCACACAGACCTCTCTCTCTCTCACTGGTCTCTCTCTCTGTCCCACTCCACACAGACCTCTCTCTCTCTCACTGGTCTCTCTCTCTGTCCACTCCACAGAGACCTCTCTCTCTCTCACTGGTCTCTCTCTCTCTCTGGTCTCTCTCTCTCTGATCTCTCTCTGTCCACTCCACACAGACCTCTCTCTCTCTCTCACTGGTCTCTCTCTCTCTGTCCACTCCACACAGACCTCTCTCTCTCTCACTGGTCTCTCTCTCTGCCCACTCCACACAGACCTCTCTCTCTCTCACTGGTCTCTCTCTCTCTCTGGTCTCTCTCTCTCTGATCTCTCTCTGTCCACTCCACACAGACCTCTCTCTCTCTCTCACTGGTCTCTCTCTCTCTGTCCACTCCACACAGACCTCTCTCTCTCTCACTGGTCTCTCTCTCTCTGTCCACTCCACAGAGACCTCTCTCTCTCTCACTGGTCTCTCTCTCTCTCTGGTCTCTCTCTCTCTGATCTCTCTCTCTCTCTGATCTCTCTCTCTGTCCACTCCACACAGACCTCTCTCTCTCTCACTGGTCTCTCTCTCTCTGTCCACTCCACACAGACCTCTCTCTCTCTCTCTGGTCTCTCTCTCTGTCCACTCCACACAGACCTCTCTCTCTCTCACTGGTCTCTCTCTCTCTGTCCACTCCACACAGACCTCTCTCTCTCTCTCACTGGTCTCTCTCTCTGCCCACTCCACACAGACCTCTCTCTCTCTCACTGGTCTCTCTCTCTGCCCACTCCACAGAGACCTCTCTCTCTCTCACTGGTCTCTCTCTCTCTCTGGTCTCTCTCTCTCTGATCTCTCTCTCTCACTGGTCTCTCTCTCTGACCACTCCATGCAGACCTCTCTCTCTCTCTCTGGTCTCTCTCTCTGCCCACTCCACACAGACCTCTCTCTCTCTCACTGGTCTCTCTCTCTCTCTGGTCTCTCTCT